GAACTGTTCACTCATTTGGAGGTAAAGTGTAATAGCAGCTGGAGCTAGAGATTCAGTCAGTATTTCTGGGGCCCAGGTTCAAGTCACTTTCTGGACAGGCTGCATATTTTCTTCAGCCTGTGACAATGATTTTCTTATATCACCTGAATATTGAAAAGGGGATTTGAAAATTTTTCATAATTAATATTTGGAAAATTTCAAATTACAATGAATTAACTTTCAATCAGGGTTTTTCAAAATGTCCAGTCTGAATTGTAGAAATTACATTCTTCTAATAACAAACTGGAGTCTATAAACAAACACATAGCCATTCAATAATCAAACTTCTAACCTTTTATCTTGAACCATGGAAGTTTCTGCATAAGATCAGCATTTTGTTTAAACTTTAATTTTCAAAATAAATTTTAACTTAAATCAGCCTCTTAAATCATTTAAAAATCATTAACATTTGTATTAAATTATGTGCAGAGTTGATGTGCCATTAAAAATGATAATACTGAATACTACTGAATTTTTGCATTTGTAAACCTTGCCATTTTAAAAATTATCAACATCCAGTCACATGGCAAGGAAGTATATAAACAATGCCTTTGTTTGATTTATCACACATTGATCCCTCATTATTGTATGCAAAATCTACAGAACATCTTCATTTATTCACCATGATAATGCCTCACATAAATAATTCTAGCTGAAAATTGCAGTTTACCAAAGCACTAAAGAGCACCATGTAAATCAAGATTATAATTTGATAGAAATCAGCTGATGACCTCACAGAAATTCTACCAAAACAAACAGAATATCAATCGATTGTCGGCAAAATAAACAGTGAATCCTACCTCCGATCTTGATTTATGATGGAAACCATTTTGGTGAACGTGATGGTTGTGGTTATTCATCATTTAGTAGACTGTGGTATCATTTGGAGAATGTTTTCATTGTAAATTAACAAAAAATTGGACAAAAGAAAAATAATAACATTGACAGTTCTGCCTAAATGCGTTGTAACGGGTCATTTGATTGGACGAACGTTTATGACGCAACTATTCCTTTTAATAAACAGGTGCGCTTGTAATAAATGGATTTACAGAATTTACGATAAAACAGTTTGCAGTTATGAAGATGTTACTTTTCTGGCTGTTTACATTAAAAATCTATAAAATTGACTGCATATGTTTAAGTTTTAACATATCGATCAATAAATACACAACCCTGAGGTTGCTAATTTTAACAACCAATTAAATTCAATTTGACACAATTAATTTCGGGATACATTTGTGTTCATTCAAAATATTTATGTGGCGGGAAATTTAATTTCGAGTTGGTGGACTATGATCAACACTGGAAAATTGAATATGTTGCAGGCTCAGTATGATTGAGTCTGTCCTCTCGTCCAGATCAGTAAAATAATTCTGCCTGTGTAAATAGCCCTTGAACTTATTTGCAAGTCGCAAAATTAAACTATTTTAAATTCGTTGGTCAATATCCACATAAATATTTTGTAAACGGGATATAACATTTTACCGATTAAAAAAAGCGACAAGGTACCTCGTTTTTTTTACAACACTGACACTATTATTTTTAATGATTGAAAAGGGAGATCTAAGGTCCGCCAAAACGGCAAAATAGAAACTGCTGAACATACAGTGAACAATAAGTTCTTATCTAAATATAAACTTTTAGAAGGGCTTTTAAAATGTTTCGTTTTAAAGCTGCGAAGAAGAAAAGATAACAGTTCAGTCTAGATTTGTACACATGCCTTCCCCTACAAACTAAACTTCTGTTTGTCCAAAATAGAGAGAAATAGAAAATTAAAAATGTTACACGAGCCTGTTAAGGACGGTACTACTGACAAGTGAAAGTTAAATACCGTCCACTTACCCTTATCACCGGCTAAGCAGAATTCAATATTTAACATGAAATAGTAAAATTTTGATTTTGAAAACATCCGCAGATATGAATACCATGTTACCATAGAACACTCAATGTGATACTTGACATGAAAAGCGGTGTATGGTCCAAGTTGAAGAAAATGCGTCACTACATAAAATGGAATTTTTAAAAGGAATCAGAGGCTTCTCACTTTCCCTCGGCGCTTGCACGTCGCTGAGAAGGCACAGGACATCGGCAGAAGATTTGCGGTTTGACGGGTTGTAAACTTATAAATTACCTTGTACGTTATCGGGACTGCTACTTCGTCAGCAACTGACGACAAGGCAGAGACGATGAGGATTGTGTGTTAGGGTGCGTGAGTCCCTAGCACAGATAGACAGCTTGTAAGACATGGCCTTTGCTTGGCACCAAGAGCCCTTTTATAAGGGCTACCTCCTTTCATTATTGTCTCAGCTTACTGTACATTCAGGTTCTCATTGACAGCTGTACAGTGACCTACATTTGGCTCAAATTCATAACTTTGCCTAATACTCCGTGGAAATTGCATCAATGTAAATAAACACCACTTCGTGCCTCAAAATTAGCTCTTTAAGGGCATGACTGGTGACATGTCCGGGTCCGTTCTCGACAGCAAAAGCTGCTTTTTGTGCCTTTACGTGCGGTAGACCCTCAATAAACATAGACTACATACATAATATGCTAGTCATAATCAGAATTGATTGTTAAGCAGTATGATGTAGATGTAATATAGGGATCAGAGGTTGTAAATCATGCATATCACATGCAAGCTGTCAAAAGCAGGCACCATAATTAGCCTTAGGGTGATTTTACACAGTATTAAAGTAAGGAATACTGGAACCACCGACTAGAAAAAAAGCCAGATAGAAATTACTAAAATTGCGACAAACACATCAATAAAGTCCTGTGAATTTTCTTAAAGGATTAGAAAATTACATTTATAATTGTGTAACGATAACGTTGGTTTTCCCGTTTTTGGATTTGTAGATGGATGTCTATATGGAGTTCCCCAAGTTCTATATAAGTGGATCTTTTTAATCATTTACATTGTCCATGGTATATATCAACGCCCTAGCTATTACACCATCTGCAAAACTAAAATGTTTCTCAATTTTCAATTTTACTGTATTCTGTAATTGATTATAAAACTTCCATGAAAAGATACAATCATGCCGAGCTTGTCAATTACATTTTTAAATGCACACGAAATTATTGAAAGGACTCCTTTGAACTTTTAAAAACCTCTGGTATGCATGTAAAAAAGGTTACTGTCCTGCGCATCGGTCGGATGTTCCACTATTGCTCACTTTTTTATGTGAGTGTATTCAGGGAACGTAAAAAAGTTAGAAAAACCCTATTCCCTACAATAATATTCTTAAACGTTGCATAGTTCTTTTGAGTTATTGAAAAGTTTTCCAATGCCAGACTGTAGGATCCGGTTCTTAAGTTCAAATTTACAATTTCCTGTTGTTTTCCCCATTCAATGGACACTTTCTGATAAGTTTAAGCAGTAAAATAAGTTGCACACTTATTACTTTTTATTATATATGCTCATTCTCACCTAGTTTTCCTAGTTTGTATGTGCAAGACCCTCGTTGTGTTTGCTTTTTCAGTAAAACACCGAAAAATATAAATAAATAAATCAATAAATAAATAAAAAATAAATAAATAAATAAATAAATAAATAAATAAATAAATAAATAAATAAATAAATAAATAAATAAATAAATAAATAAGAAACAGCAACCAAAAAAAAAACATGAATACAGAGATCAAGAAACGGAAAGTGACGTTCACATATCATAAGTATTAACGCTGTCCCGATAACATAGTCTTGGCACTGAAAAGGCACCATGTATAGCACCGAACAAAAAACGGGACAAACAAAGCAATGCAAAAAACAAAATCAAAACAAAAATGAGCAAATAGAAAAAAAAACACACACACACACCAAACAAAATGCAGAAAAAAATACAACAAAATAATGTTGTAATTATATAATAATTAAGGCTATTTTGACTCAGACCTTAAAAGATGTTTTGATGATGTTAGTTTTGAACCGGTTGGTCTAAGGGGCAAAACTGTTAAGATTCAGATGAAGAATTGAAATACATGAGTTGCCCTGTAATAAGATCATTTTAACGTGATAATCATTTGCAAAAACAATAAAGAAACCGTAAAACAAACCAATTGAATTTCAATAAAATGATCATGTGATTTCAACATGGACCAATATACATTTTTTTTGCATATGAAAACAAAGATAGAAGGACAGCATTCAACGAACGCATTCCCTCAACACAACCTAGCAACACAGTTTCACCGACAAGAAGTCCAGGACATTCCAGGACTCCTAACAAAAACAGGAGAGGGCACGACTTGTGCAAGTAGACTACACAATCCATATGAAAGATAGTAAATTTATTTCATTTATTATTTCAGTTTTGTGCAAACCGATTCATATATTGCCACTGATTTTTATAAGTTAGCAAAGTATAACTAAATTTACAAATTGTATTTTAGAAATGATTCGTGGTGACGCTGAATGGGAATTCTTTGTTTAGAGACAGCAACGTTTTTTTTTTACAATACTTTGCCTGATTCACAGAATAATATCCTGATTATCATGAGCAAATAAGATCAAAATATCACTACCGTCAATGAACAGACTCAATCAAACGGAACTAGAAACATTCTTAAGTTAGCCGTGTTGGACTTTCTTTAGGGATTCTGTTTTTCTCTATTTCCGACAGAGTGATTTGATACAAAATGATTTACCGTAAATAACAAACAAGTAATGTAGATGTAATGTAAATTAAGTGACAGACATGAATTCGTGCCTATTAATTAGCTTTATCAGGAAAATCACTGATACAGTACATATTTTGAAATATACATTTTCAAAGTGTCACTTAGTATCATAACATGCTGTTTTATATGACATCCATTTATGAAGTACATAGAAATATTGGATACTTATATCCTGGGACAGAAAGATACACACGAGGAAAAGTATTTAGTCGAATTCAACCTTAAACAAAAGTGACTCTTACAACTTGACTTTAAAACGCCGACAAAGTCTATAGAGTTACATCCCTTGAAAGCGGAAATTTTAAAAACAATAAACGCAAAATTTTGTTTTAATTGTCTCAGTTAACTACACAGTCTGCAGGCCTATTTTTGAAAGGGGATAAGTTGAAACATAGGATTCTGAAACCCATATATTAAGAAGTTTTTATTCTTAGGAATTGTGACAAAAAGCTTTGACGGTAATAACACCTTTCGGACCACAGACATTTCGTACAAGACAAAATTATTCGACACATTGACTAGTACTGAAACTTTGGAGACAATTTTCTAACGTCAGGTCATATAGCACTTTTCATTCAGATATGAAAATATTAACACTGTTTATGCAGTAAATGGTGGCTTTAAATCAATCATTAGTGAAATTATATATATTTTAATTGTCACCTGATGAAATATTTCAAACTCTATTTTTTCAATTGACGAGTCGAATAAACTTTTATTTGTTAACATCACTGACGATCTTTCAAACTTTATTGTTAAGTATACTAGTTGTCTGGTATTTTTATCTTCACGCACCCCCGCATGTGTCAGCTCAGTCTAATTTAACAAACAATATAAATTAAATATCAAAATACCAGATTGCACTGTTCCGTTTTCTCTTGAAGTTTGACAAAGAGAAATGTGTAATTTGTCATTGTATAAAATGTCTCTACTTAGTTCTATTTATACTGTAGGCAGTTGAAGATGGATGAACATTCAGATAAAATGAAAGCATTAGAAGAGGAGCTGAAAGATCAGCAAAACAAAGTGATCCAGGTAAATTATAACATAAAAAAGGTGATACAGGTAAATTATTATCAAAGTCAGATCAATACAAAGTATTCATGAAAATTACAACATTCTGTTCAAATAGAAATATTAAGTGATCCAGGCAAATTTTGATAATTCATATCAGATCAAAATGATCCAGGTGAATTAAAACTCAAACAGGACATTTCGGCCCCAAACCAAATCGGCCCCAGTCGAAAAATCGGCCCCTGGACGTTTCGGCCCTTTTCTGCGAGACGTTTCGGCCCCACTATAGTGTATTGCTTGATTGATTAACAACAATTTATTTAATTACAATTATGACACTTTAATTCTTTGAATAATTATTTATTATCTTTTGATCTCTTGAACCATTTAGATATACAGTCGAGACTGTCATATGTGACTTTCCAAGGGATCTTCAGAAAAAGGTCACATATGACAGGGAGTCTCTTAATACAGTCTCAAAGAAAATTAAATTTAAATATCATCTATCTGTCTATATACCATTGTGACTTAAAGAACCTGTATGTTTTGTGATAGATATTGTTACTGTGTATACGATATTTGCAAAAAAGTATATATATGGCAGTGATTTTTCTCTCTAAATTGGGAAGAGGCCTGAGCCTCTTGATTTTGGGAAAAATTATCGCTAAAATTGATGATTTGGGAAGTAAAAAAGCTGGTTTAAGTTCAGAATTTTGGGAAAACTGCATGATTTTAAAGAAAATTTCAATTGGGAAGAGGCCTTTTTTCGGAGTCTGTTATATAAGTAGGAAAATCACTGTATGGATATAATTATGCAAATAAAACAATTTTCCAACATCAAAGAATATGTAAAATGTGTACTGCAAATACTTGTGCACATTATATTTATTCAATAAATTACATGCATTGATTTATTATTGGAAAATTTGACTTAGAATTTATAGAAAATAAAGTTCTAATTACCTCCCTTTAATGGCCTTTATTTACATGAAATTTTAAATTGGGTGATATCTTTATAAATCATGCTTATTTGAAGGTACAATATTGACAAATCTTAATTTGAGCATCATATTCATGAAATAAAACCATGAAAAAATTGTGATAAATATCCATATCCAAAGCTTTTTCTGGTTTCGTATCAATATTTTTCCCGTATTAATTATGCAGCCATAGAAAGGTAAATTAAAAAAAATGCTGCCTAAAAAATCCTCCGTGGGCACTCTATAATTAAAAAAAAAAATCTAAAACAAGTCTTAACCCAGTTTACTTTATGAACATTACACACACATCGATTACATCATGCTTCTCATGAACAGACACTACGTCACTTGATACCTGCATGTATACTGTGTAATTGAGATAGAGGTGCGTAGACTTTGTTTGCTACTAGATTATAATTGGACTTAATTATTTTGGCCTTCTGGGTGTTATAATAGGTATTATTTATCTGATTAACGGACAATTAAAAGGTGTGAAAGTCGTTTAAATCAGACCAAACATTGCATTGGGACCAGACAATTAGGGTCGCTTGTTACATATGACAGGGAGTCGTTTAATTCAGACCATTTATATAGGAAAATACGTTGGGAGTACTGAAACAAGGTCAGATAAGACAGGGAGTCGTTTAAATCGGGGGGTCGCTTAGGCAGTCTCGACTGTACGTTAATGTTTTTAAAGGTGTAACAAACAATAAAGGCCGGTTACTTACCTATAAAACAAACCACTAAAACTTCTGGATTAAGAAAGTAACTTACAGTTTTTCCTTAGAATACATTATCTTTTGATCTTAATTAAACTATACGTAATTTTTTCAAAGTGTAACTAATTAACTGTTTATACTTTATGCTAATTGGCGGTATTGTTTTGTGTCTTGCTTCTTAATCATTCAAATAAAATATTATCTATATATGGTTAATAATTGTTTGTTTGTGTATTATATTTTTTCAAATAAAGTTTATGTTCTGTTCTGTTTGTATTGATTACTTTCCCCCTACTACTATAATAATCTAGTTTTTATACAAAATGATTAAATATATATATATAAATTGATTAATTTTTTTATTGAAATGCTATTAATATATCGGTTTAAAATACAGTACTTATTCTGGGGCCGATTTGGTAAAGGGCCGAAACGTCCGGGGCCGAAAGGTCTTGGGTAGTTTGGGGCCGATACGTCTTGGGGCCGAAACGTCTCAAAATCATTAAAACATCAAAACAAAGTGATACAACTAAATAAAAGCATCAAAATGAAGGAATTTAGGTAAATTGTTTCATTTACATTTAAAATGCATTGTCACTGTGTCCATTTTCTATCATTTTAAGTAAAGCCAAAAATTTGTTATATGCCAGCAGTTTAGAGCCTGATCATGGATGTGCAGGCAGGCCTGGTTCTATACTGGTGGCAAAGGTCTTGCAGCCTATGTTCCATGTACATGTGTATTGAAAGTTTTAATAAATCTGTACAATAAAACAAAATTTGTAGTATCAATACTTAGTTATAAAAACTTATCTTTTCTCACATTAGGCTGCAGAATTTGGGAAAATGCTTTTGGAGCATAATGAAGAGTTGCAGAATAAGATGGATGAAATCAGAAAGACAACTGACAAGAAATTAGAGGTAAAGTATGAACATGTATGTATACTTTTGCCTTTAACCAAGTGTAATTTTGTTTAAGTCCTTGAACTTTATAAGCCATACTGGTATTTCATTATGTCAACAATTTTAGATGAAAACAGGTGTTCTAAATATTATTGAACTGATAGAGGCTCATAGTAGAAGAAATAAGTGTATGTACATTGTCAAATGTAAAAATTGTAAATTTTGAAAAAAATTCTACACTTATTTTCCATCTAGACATACATTTAACATGACTTACGATCACTTACCCTATTCTATTTGTAAAAAAAATGATGTTTGCAAAACAGAATTCTTTTTCATTCTGACACTCGCATATGACAAAAATCACTTTTTTCCAATTATTTTTTGAATTTATGTTAAATGTTTTTTGTTTATTTTTAGTTATTATTGTAATGACTAGCCAAGTGTCTGTTTGTATCAGATATATTTTGGCAGAATATAAATATCCAACCAATACTTGTAATTTGAATTTAAAGTAATGGGAAATATCTGGTGATTATAAGTTTTCAGGGCTATTGCACACTGTTTCTGATATCCAGGTGTTTTTTTTTATACTTCTAAAGGCTCTCTTTTTCTATTTAAAACTTAAAAAAAATTGATGCTAATTTTGAAGTTGTCATTTTCTACCCATGGTATCCACATTTCAGCTGTTAGAACAAGAACGGTACACAATACAGGTGAAGTTAGAACAGAAAGCTAGCATGGAGGCCTGGTATAATGAGGAAATATCCCATCTTAAACAACAGCTAGCAGACAGACAGAGCAATCTTAGAGCAACGTTAGAGGCTGATAAACTACAGGAAGTCAGCAGGCTCAATAGACAAGTATAAATCATTTTGTTATTTCTTTCTTTTATACACGAGGCTTTACATCTCTACATTGAATTGCAGGGGTGTCTGTTGCCGAGTTGTTGAGGTCATTTATTTGAAACCACTTGTCCCTCATTTCTGTTGTTTCAAACCAGACAGGGACATTGGATTCTTTCTTTTTGTGAAGATGCTATCCAGCTAGCTTACAGAACGTTTGTGGTTCTACTCAGGTGTACATTGGTTTATCAAATAATGTGTTGAAATGCACCTGAGGTCTTCCTCCACAAGTAAAGCTGGAAAGTCGCCATATGACCTCTAATGTGTTGGTGCAATGTAAAACTCAACAACAACAACAAAAAAACAACTAAAAAAACATTGAATTACTTGTCAGGCCATACCTTTGCTGAAATTACAATAAATGCACAAGCTACAATTTGCTTAATTGAATGTTTTAGGCCATCATTTCAATGACAAATGTTGAGATTAACAATAGATTTTTATTTTGTGGGAAAAATTTCATTTAAGATCACTCTGCTTATCTGATTGGCTCCAGATAAATTGACACATACTCAATAAAATTGTTTGTGTAAAGAGCTTGGCCTCTAGATCCATAGTAAAGTGTCACATGTTGAAAATATGCCAAGAGTCATCATCAGATGTGAGTTATTTTTAGATTGATGACCTACGTGCAGACCTGGATCAAGCTTCTGTTGTAGAAGGCCAGTTAAAGCAGAAGACATCTGAGATGGAAGATTTACTCAAAGAGAGGCTGAACCAAACAGAGTCTGACATTGGGTCAAGGACATTTAGTTCATCAGAAGAAGTCAGTGTCCTGCATGAGGAGGTCGAAAACCTTCAGTTTGAAGTGGTTTGTATTTTAACAAGTTTCATGTTTTTATGTAAACTTCCACAACCGCTTAAAAAAAGGTTTTGATAGTTCTTTAAAGCTACAATACCACACATTGTAGTTTGGGCGTTTTTGAAATGAAATTTTATCTTTGGCTTGTACAATAATTTGAACTAGATGATTAATGCATGTCTTGTTTGACGATAGTACGGTAGAACAATAGTGCACTTCGTAAGTTATTTTAATCTAAAATCGATTGCTGCACAATATATCATAGAAAATTATGTCTTTATAAAGAGACAAAAAATAACATGTTTGTGTAATAGATTCTCTTTTGAACCCTGGTTTGAAAAAGGCTTAACAGTGATATGATGCACTTTTCGAAGATAAAATTACAGAAATACCTACTTTGAAACAACACAGAATTGTTTTCCCAACAATAAATAAAAGCTGAAGGCCATTTTAAAACTAAGCTAATGATATACATGTATTTACAATTCTCATACAGACCAATTTGAAGTCACAACTGATTGAGAAGAAGTCCGAGTTAAATGGTGCTGTGTCGGAAATAGAGAACCTACGAGGAAGACTTGTAGCTCGCGATGAGGAACTAGAAGACATAAAATGTCAATTCACTTCTGTGAACAATATGCTCGAGGTAAAATACGCATTTCCAAGTATTTTATCTTTTTAGCTCATCTGTTTTGAAGATAAATTCAAGCTATTATTATCGCTGCATCATTGTTGTGCAAATCCAACAACTCTTGCCTGGACTTAGAATAAAATACTTTTTCTGAACTTGATCACTTGATTGATATCCAAAACTCATAATTTTGTTATGTATTTTCTTTGAATGAAATCTTTCTTTTCGTAAATTCATACTTTATACTAACTCTTCTTATAGTAGCAAGCATTTTAGAATAGTTAATGAAAAAATTTCATAAAAAACCAACAATAGTTAAAATATAATTGTGTTTTTCAGGAAGTGAGAATGGAGAAATTGGACTTAAATTGTCAATTGGATGCACTGCGTATGGAGACAAGCTCTCATAGGAAAAAAGGCAATTCTCTTTTCTCTGAGGTATGAATGATTGCTTTTTTTATTATTTAACAATAAGTTGTTTTACATCCATGGACAGAGGAGTAATATATGTCTTGAGAAAATAAAACTTAGAAAAATATATTATAATTTAAGAAATATACATGTATAAACATTCAAATTGGTGGTGAAACTTTGAATGCATTATGCAGAACACTCAGAACTTTATTAGATACTATAACTATATAAGATACTATGAATTGCTTTTGCATCATTTTCATCTGGTGTTTTATCTGATATAAATGTGTACTTTCAGCTTGATGACAGACGTGTGGAGGCAGAAAACAAACTTATTTCTTTAACAGTAGCCAATCAAACTCTGCAAGAGAAATACAGCGTAGAAAAACAACAAAACAATAAATATAAGGTTTGAATGTAATATTGTGTTTTAGTCAAATTACTGAAAAAATGAGTTTTTTGTAAACTCTGGACACCTTTATACTATATTTCCATTGATTGGTAGTATTCTGTTGTCACCACGGTTTTTAAAAATGCACACTGAATGTTTTGAGGTCTATGTTAAGTATAAGCAACTTCTGGGTTGTTAACAGGGTTTGATTGTTGAGTCTGAATACAATTAATTGTCATAAATACAACATTTATTTTGTAAAATCTTTTTACATATTCAAATTCTGTTTTATCATGGGAGTTAAGATTTTCCAAGTTATATCTCTTACAAACTGAAGGTATTCACTAAACACTTCACAGGTATTTGCGGGGCCATACATGTTGGTCACGTGGTTTAAGTGAATCATACACATTTGTGAACGTAGAAAATGTCTGGGGCAAGGTATTTCTCCAAAACCTCTTAATAACTTGAAACTTCTCATATCCTTAGGATCATAATTGCAGGTGCTTGAGCAAGACCAATAACTCAAACAATACTTTTCTTTAAGTTGTTTCCCTTTGTGAATTTAGAATGTTAATTCCTTCAATATTGAAGCTTTTGTTTTATTTGATTTGCCATCTCTGATGATCACAAAGCTTGCTATCCATCTTACAGCTGTTGTACTTTATGCTAAATAATCCCACCTAATTCACTTCTTTGAAATAAGAGATATAAAACTGATGTGGTTTGATTTTGTAGAGACAGATATCTCAGTTACTGCTACAGATGAGCTCTGGTAGAGTAGATAGTGAATATGTAACTAACCTAGAAGCCAAGCTGGCCCAGGCTAGAACTGAACTGAAGACATTGATGGAGGAAAAATCACAACTCCTACAGAGACAGGTTTGTTTAATGACTGGTAAATGATTTCTTTGATAAATAAAAAAAATAGATATTAATGAAAAAAAAAATAAACATAGACTTTCATTACTAAAGATAACTTGTTGGGATAAATCCTATCTTCCCTGAGGCCTTTGAACAAACATTTACACAAACTTACCTTCTCTGACAGTATTTGTAAAAGAGCATTGAACAAATAGGGACTTAGACATTATATACATGTGTATAATTTTCAATCAAATATTGAACCAAAAATGAGCCACGCCATGACAAGACCAACATAATGGGTTTGCGACCAGCATGGCTCCAGACCAGCCTGCGCATCCGCACAGTCTGATCAGGATCCATGCTGTTCGCTATCAGTTTCTCTACTTGTTATAAAGTTTGTAAGCGAACAGCATGGATCCTGATCAGACTGCGTGGATGCCCAGGCTGGTCTGGATCCATGCTGGTTGCAAACCCAGTATGTTGGTTGTGTCATGGCGGGGCTCAAATACATATTGTGCTGTGTAATCAGAGGTCTCTGTTGATCAAACTTGATGGATTGTCACTTCCAGTACTTCGAGATTAGGCATTTGCTTTTGCACTATATTGTTGTATATATAAGACAGGAAGATGCTGCATTGCCATTTAACCAAAGTTTGAAGAGTTTTAATCTATACACTTTCCAGTTATTGACTTTTACACAAATAAGTTAGCCGATGGATTATAGGTTTTGAACCTTTGAAAATGATTGTGGACGTTTTAGCAACAATTAAAGCAATCTAGATAAAATAATTGCTTAATATTTACAATGAACTTCTTTATTTTGGTCAATACCAGTCTTCCTTAATGAATTAATGATATTTTGAATTATTTTTACCAATTGAAAAGATATATTTTTCATATTTTGCTAAAAAAAATTGTGGTAACTTCAGTGTTATTTTTACAGGAAAGTGAGGTAAAAGTTGTCTCAGAACTAGGTCAAGGTGAAACAGAGGATGAAGACTATAAGCAATACCTTGTTACTGTCATTAAAGGAAAGGAGTGAGTATGAATAACATCTTTCTGAAAATCTGGAAATGTTTCTAGACCTCTCCAGTTCATATGGAAGGTTTAAGACAGAGAGGAACTTTTGTGGCTGAGTGGTTAGGTGACTGATGTCAAATCACTTGTGACAATAATAATACATAGGGTTCAAATCCCATTGGGAACTTTAGAAAGTTCATTGTAAGAAAGCAATCCTATTAGTTTACTAAAGGTCAGTGGTTCTAGTCAGGTGTCTGTGTTTACTTGAGGTCTCTCTCCATGATTAAAGTCGGAAAGTCACCATATCACCTTTACAGTGTCTGTATAAACTTCACACTTAATAAAATAAATAAGTTTGTTTATTACTTGCTTTTCAGTGGTTTATAGAAATAAATCAGTGATATAAAACTGATAATTTCACTGTTTAAAACAGTGAAATTATCAATTTGATAATTTTACTGTTTTGAATTTAAGCCCACGTTATTTCAGTGAAATACCAGCGTGCACAGCACTGGGAACTAACTAAATGAAGTGACGTCGTAAATGATGTCACGTTGTATTATTATTTGATGTGCTTTTCATTCAGTATTAGGTTTAATGTCTTTAAAACATTTCTTTGCATATAATAAAATTTGTTTTTTTAGTGTAAGATCGAAATATATTTCATCTTGTGAACACCAAAAGTTCATATTTCACTTGTGGGTGCGCCACTCGTGAAATATACCTTTTGTGCTCACTCAGTGAAATATATTCTGATCTTACACTGAACTAAACAAATATCCTCTATATAAACTTCACACCAAATAAAGTAAATAAGTTAAGATAGAGACTATTGACTTGACACTCAATTACATACACAGATTGGGATAAGACTGTGTTTTGTTGAACCCTAGCTGAAGTTGTTTGATGCCACACAATCATAACCATTCCCCAGTTGAATCTTTAAATGGGAATTTAAAATCTGAAATTTTCCAGGAGTAGTTTAAACAATTTAAATATCAAACCACTAGCCTATTGGGTTTTGGTATGACTGCATAGATATGTAGGCTGTTTTGGCTGGGTACCTTGGCAGAGATATTACTTTATGCCCATTAAAGTTTGCATGCAAGGTATTTCTTCACTATCACTGAAGTCATTAACTTGAAACTTCTCGGGAATTAATTTTAGGAGTTTGATCATGACAGATCACTCAACAAATACAACCATTGATTCTTCCAAATATTTAAAACTTAAAATGTTCCTTCAATATTTAGACTTTTTTTACTAGAGTATAGTTACAACTAAAATGAAGCAGTTTACAGGTGTTTGGTCAGACTGTATGGATGGGCTTTGGTGGCAGTCATGTCTTTATTGATGACGGTCAAAGGGGGTGATAGGAATGTCCTGCAACTGTCTGTCTTAGGGAAATATCCATTGCTTTTTGGGCATCATTCTGTCCATAATCTTTGTTGAAAAAAGAAGAAAACCACTTAAACTCACATACCTTGTGGTAATTTTCATGAGTTTATGTAGAGTAATATACATAAAAAGCCCATTGATTAACTGTTGTAAAAGTTTTTAAAATAATTTGGCACAAATGATCATCATTTTGATATGATTAGGTTACACTAACAGATAAAATTTTAAAAACTCCACATTTATGTCAACTCAATAAATAATTGACTGAAATTTTAATTTTTAGGATGATCATGCACAGATTCATAACACATACAACCATTGAATTGGTCATGGTCACAGTCACATATGGAGGTTAAACGTTCCCATCCATAACTTTTTGACTTGGGGACTGTTGACATTTTTTTTTCACAAATAATTATGACAGCATGTGCAGAGCAAACCAACTAGGTTTTAATCCCAAAGGTCAAGGTCGCAACTACAGGTCATATGTTAAAAAGTCTAAAATTTGTATCTGCTATATAACTTATTGACTATCATAAAAAATGTCATATCTATTGATGTAATTTAAGTATAAGGTATGTATTCAAAAACATTATGGAAGAGATAGAGTTTTAATAGCTAACAGGGAAATATTTCTAAATTGTCAAGATGTATGTTGTGTACCTCTTTTCTAAGGGCTTGATTCTTGTAAATTGTGTTTGTTATAATTTCCACATTTCCTCTAATGACTGTTAGGCAGAAGTTTTTACTGTATCTACGTACTTAAAGAACTGTGTGCTCAATAACAAACAAAGCTAATTTAACATGTACATGTACTTGTAAATATCCTTATGCGTGATGATTTTGGAGAAGATGTTTTAACAACTTTGTTATGACAATTTTTTTCACGTCATTCTAGTGACAAATTGACATAAATCTGTGTAAATAATGAGGAGAAAATAAAGTTTCAAATGTTAGGAGCAGGTGGCACTGTCTTAATAAACAAATATAGACATTGTTTATAGAAAAGTGCATGAAAATGAAATATGGCTGCAAATTATAAAAAGTTCAAGGGCATTCTGTAGTGCAGGTAGATTACTATTGATTTTCAAATTCAATAATGATTCAAAACCTGAAAGTATGAAGGAAAACAAATCTTAAATTGTTGTGATTTGCTTAGGAAATCAGATTTAGAACAATTTTATGTTGTTATCCATAGATTAAGTACTAATTCTGATGTTGTGCTAATTCTGTGTTGTTATCAACAGATGCAGTACCTACCTCTCCACAGATTCAGTATCTGTACTGTGTTGTTTCTCCACACATAATTGTTAACTTGTCAACATGAATCAGTTGTAGAAGAGTTAGCTATATTGTTGTCATTTATATTCTTTTGGAAAAGCATGCTTTTGGCCAAATTGTGTGCATTTGAATTTATGTGTGAAGACTTTAATATCATGAGTGGAGCTAAAGGATATTAAAGGATAATTCTGGGCAAAATATCGTTTTATATACATGTATATTTTTCAACTGTATCAAGTGAGAGGATGTTTAAGGTTGCTACTTTAAATCATTTGCCCCTCATCACTGTGGCTTTGAATATCTTCAGGGACTTTGAATAAGCTAATCAAGCTGGTTTTAAGAAGGTTGGTGGTTCTACTCAATAGCTTGCTCATACCTAAAAAATAATGAAGGGGTGCTTGAGGTGTTCCTCTACCAGTAAAGTTGAAAATGGCCATTTGACATTTACAGCATCAAGGCAACTTCAAACCCTACAAAACTGAACATTACTGTAACATTTTCCAATTTCAGGCAAGAATTACAGAAGACTAAGCAGGAGCTGAACCACAAGAATCTACAGTTGCTGGACTTGAAAAGTCGAACATCAGGTCAGGATGCGAAGATTGTACAGCTTGAGGCAGAGAAAGACAAGTTGCGTAGTCACAACATGAAGCTGTCTGTCAAACTGGAGGAGTTAAGATTGAAATATGATCCAGGTACTATATTCATTAACTTACGTTTTATGCTCTTCAGAAGTGTGTTTGTTCAACCTGTCTTCTATTACATTACAGTCGACTTTCTTTATCTCGAAGTCATCGGGACCGTCCAAAAAATATTGAGATAACGAAATGTCGAGATAAACATATTATGGTTTGAACAAGGCAGAAGCTGATTTTTACAAAAGACATGTGCATACCTTATGCCAAATAAACTATGATATCTCCATGTCTTCTTTTTATAAGCCTAGTATCTCAAAGTCAATATTTAACAAAGGAATATAATATTTACCAGCGGAAATACGGGTGTCTGTGATAAAAACACAAAGTGAGGTTTACTCAGTAATGTAATACACCAAAGTAGTGAAAACATTGTTTTAGGGTAATTGATCTGGATATCCTCCCTGGTTAGTTATCGGGATTGTTCAACCGCTGTTTGATTTTTTTATGTTGTGAAACAATATTGTAACGATAACGTTTCTATACTTTCACTATTTCATTTACAGTTAAAAGTCATAATGAATTAATACTGTGTTCAAATATTTATAAAGAACGTAAAGTTCGGTCATTTTGAACATAAGTCAATCAACATGCTAATTACATTAACTTTTACAATAACAGCTCAACTTGTTACAAACATAATCATCATAATGACACGCGCAATAGAGCAATTATCGTCTAGTTTGTGTTTTTCACATGACGAAAACTATTTGTCGAGATAAACAAAGGATAATAGTGTGAAAATAACTGTAGGGGCTGAATTTTACATCGAGATACTGAAAATATCGAAATAAATATATCGAGATAAACAAATATATATAAAATCCAATATAGATAAAGAAGGAAGAAAATCGGGACTTTCAAAATTTCATCGAGATAACGAAATATCGAGAAAAGCAATGTCGAGATAACGATAGTTGACTGTACTTTAAAGTTTTCTCAACATGCCTTTGTTGACCAATATATTGTATATTCCCATAGGTCCGTTTTACTATGATAAATTGATTAATGATTAAACAATGGTGTTCACTAACAGATTATGGATATAAACCTACAAATAATTGCCCCATTTGTGTTATAACACTTGTAAGTCATGTTCAAATAATGCTTTAAGATATTCCTCTTAAAAACTCATCATCTGCCTTCTTTATTCACAGATTCAGTGAAAAAGTCTGGAGCTTTAGTTGTAAAAAGAACTGAAAAAATTCCGTTAGATGAACAGGAGGAAATAAACATCACAGAAACCACTCTTAATGAAACAGCCTTCAACCAATCTCAGATGAGTTTACATCCCGCTCATGAAAAAAACTCGCAACCATTGGCTGTAAAAGTTGACGACAACCAAAAACAATTACCAGTCACTAAAAAATCAGCATTGTCCAAGTGTATTAAAACAAAATCAGTGTCGATATCTGACGATGTCGAAGAACATGAGATTGAAAAAGATAGTGACATAGGATCAGAAAACAAGCCCGACACTAAACAGAAGGGCAGAAAACTTACGGCAGTGAAACATATCTCTAATGTCAAACCAACGATGGATGTGAATGAATGTAAAAGCCAGTGAACATATACATTTAGGGGCAAGATCTGAATCAAATAGAATGTAAATACATTTCGGAAATAACTGGAATAACAGAGTTCTTTTAATTTCTGTACATGTAGTTTGTTAATTTTTTATCTAGAATACTTGTTATTTGTCCTGGGATTTGTAATGACCAGGAAAAAAAAGAAAGTAATGTTTATGGACGTTAGTTTAGACTGCATCTACATAGTAAAAACTGGTTTATCTCTGATTTATCTTTATCAATCTTTGTCATATTTTCCAGTTACTTACACCTTAATCATTTGTTCATTCTTTTCCCATTAATGTCGGTTGGGGTGTCCATGGCCGAGTGATTAAGGTTGTTGACCTCAAACCACTTGCCCTTCACTGCTGTGGGTTAAAATCCTGCCAGGGTTTTTGGATTATTTCAGTTGGTTCACAATAATGCATGGAGGGGCACCTGAGGTCTTCATACACCAGTAAAGTTGCCTTATGACCTCTACTGTGTTGCTGTGACATAAAACTCAACCCATCATTAATGTCAAAGCTTGTTTTGGGGACAGTAAACATTAGGCCTCATTTCAACATTTATTGTGCTGATGTTTCGAGCAATAATCAACCTTACACATGTGCTAGTAAACAAAGTTTTAACTTTTTGTTTACTAGTGCTAAGGTATTCATACAATATTATGCATACACCTTTTTCTCTTTGTATCTTCTCTGTTACTTCTTGCAATATTTATAGATGTTGTCTCAATATTTAATGATTTATCTGTTAAAAAAGAGTGCTGTCACTAACTTTGATTAATCTTCAACAGCTTATACAAAAATAAATTTTTACCAATTATTTTATGAAGTCATTTATTGTTTGTTTTACACTTTTGTAATATCAATAGTGCAAAATTATTAATAGCTTAGATAAAACTACGCTTTTAAATTCACTATCAGTAACTTTACTGACGGTACATATTCATAAGACTTGAAATTTATTGAATTCTTCAATAAGCATGTTGAATTCTAACCATTTGGACAAGTTGCCAATCATTTCACTTCAAAATGGAACTATTTTAAAACTTTATCACATTGAGTAGAGAGATGATTGCATGATAAGGATTCTGTCAATTTCAATGTTTTTAGGTTTATCAAGGATGTGTCTTGGTACAGTTGAAATAGCACAACAGGCCCCAGACTTAATGAAAATCAGTGAATCAGAACATATGCATAGCCTACTATAGGTATCCAAGCTCTAATGACTCAGTGTAACACTTACATATTCAAAGACAAGGAAGAAAATCTATGCATCACCTTCAAATTTCCAAGAACTCTCCAAAGACAGAAACAAGACATTACATTTTTTTTTCAATGGCCAATTAAATAGCTAATGATTGCAAAACTAAATTTAGCCAGAACAAGTAAAAGGCAAGAATATGACCATACTTTCATGTCAGAAGATGGTCTGTGTCACAACACCAGGACACATTGCACTAAAATCCTTGCAGCTTCCTGCAACATCAAAGCTGCATTCTATTTCTTACAGGAATACAAGATCTTTCAATGAGGCAGTTTTCAGTTTAATATGCCAATGCAAGCAAATTGAGCATTAATCTGAAATTAAGTTATGTCAGACAACAGGGATCACTTCAACAAGTCTGCTACGTTTGGAATGATGTATATGAATATATTTTGAAGTAAAATGCTAGTTATTTGTTGTGAGGAAAAATATAATCAACTAACTTTGTACTTTATTTACACTATACTTGTTTATTTTCTGTTGAACCCTGCAGTGAGACACCAGGAACTTGATTTGGATCAATCAGGTACCTATACCATATAAACTCAGCTTAGTGGTTGCTAGGCAAAGATGTATTACCTACAAAATTTGAGGACAAATAAAATGGCAACAGTATGCATTCATTTTCACGTGAACGCAAGTCCAAAACACTATTCCAGCAAAATTGTAGAACATCCTGTTTTTGTGTGCTTAATATTTAACCACAGGCAGCTAAGTAAGCATTATCAACAAGCAATTATCATAGTATTGCAAGCAATCCATAAGTCCCCTACTGGTTAGAAACCCCATCAACATTCTGAAGGGCCATTGGCCATTCACTAGTGTTTCAATTTTTCTATATTTTAAGTAAATTTGTTAGAAAAGTTCTTTAAAAGTGATCACAGGAAACAGTTTTTATGAACAGACAGACAGACGGACTGAAGGACACTCTAAAGTTAATACTTGAAACATCCCTGTTACCAAAATATAACATTTTTAAAAGTAAAATTCTTAAAGAGGAGATAACTCTTGAATTAAAGATGCAATTTCATAAAAAAAATTCAGCTTTTTGACTAATCACAATTAATGTTATATTTGCCATGTTTTAAGCCTATTTGTTGCCAAGGCAACCAATATTTTTTCAAAATAGGGAGAACAGATAAGACATGCATAATCTCAAGACTGCCATCTACCCAAATGTCAAGTTTCATAAAAATATTTCTATTACTTTTTGCGTTAACACAGGATCCAGTTTATGTGTAAAATTTGCCATATTTTCAGTCTATTTGTTGCCATAGCAACCAGAATTTTCAACATAGGAAGAAAAGAAAAGACGTGCATAATCTCCAGACTGCCATCTACCCATATTTAAAGTTTTATAAAAATATTTCCAGTACTTTTTGCGTTATTACTGGATCCAGTTTATGTGTAAAATTTGCCATATTTTAAGCCATAGCAACCAGAATTTTCAACATAGGAAGAAAAGAAAAAGATGTGCATAATCTCCATACTGCCATCTATCCATATATCAAGTTTCATAATATTTTCAGTACTTTTCAAGTTATCGCGGGATCCAGTTTTGTGGACGGACGGACTGACAGACAGATGGACGGAGGGTAAACCTAAAGTCCCCTCCGGTAAACAGGTAGGGGACTAAAAATCTTCTTACAAGTGAATTTCAAGGTCATGGACAAAGAGCCATATTATTCATACAGCAACAAATAGCTCTTGAATTGGTTGAGTTACTTAAGCTTAACTTCAGGCACCTTGCTAGAACTACCAAACTGCAAAGTAAGCTTCCTCACATGAGAAATTTGAAATTACAAAAAGAAGACAATTGCTTTCTTTGTAACCTTCACTTTATTGTGACAGAATAGTTAACAATGTAAGTCACAGAAGGTAGACCAAGAAACACATCTACTTCAGCTTCTTCTTTGGTCTCAAGTTATTGGTGTGTCCACATTTCCTCTTCCTGCAGTTTGTGGCACGAGGGTGGAGACGTGCATAGCACCTGTAATCATTTTCAATGTACAATTTGATACAATTTTTCAGGTTAAAATACATGTATATAGGTAGAAAATTAAATCCAATTAAAATACAAACTGATTTAGCACATTTTACACACAAAATATATTTATATAAGTTTTCTTATCAAGAAAAAGAACATTGTATGTGATTTTAATGGTCTCTTAAAAATTCTTAGTTAAAAAGGGGCAGAACACCCAAATTATTGGTTTCAGAATTATGCCTGTTATCTAACAACAGCACCTTGTCATGATAAGCAAGTATTTCAAGTGGATAACTTTTTATATGTTTGAACAATAGGCTACATCAAAGACACAGCAATCAATTCATAACAGTTAAGACTTTCTCGGACGCATACAAGCTAAAAATTATCATTTAAAATTAACATTTAGTCAAAGTTTCAACAAAACTGTCATTTCAAATGAAGTAATGAAAGATTAAAGCTTAGTAAGATCTTTCTCAAGTTTGCTTCCAATCAATGAAGGAAAAAAAAAAGTTTCTAATATACATGTACTTGTCAATGCATTTTCAACTTCTATAAAGTTCTTAATTAAATTACACCTTTTAGAACACTTACTTTCGGCAAATCATTTTTTCACAGTTGTACTTTGAAGCGAGCTGTCTCAAACTGGGCTCAATGATACCACCACGCAGTCTGAGTACAAGATGGAGAGTGGATTCTGGAAAACATACAGTATATATAACTCTTCAATTGTTGATTAATTTAAAATTAAAACAAGATATGTTTGTAAAACATGTATGCCCCCTATCAGCAGCCAATTAGTCATGTGATAAGGTTATTATGCATGACTTCTGACCCAGTGATCAAACAATTAATAAGGGTTATAAAGTATCTACTGGTCATGACCTTGACCTTTGACCCTTGACCCAAAACTCAATAGGGGTCATCTGCTGGTCACGACCAATCATCAAACAAAGTTTGAAGTTCCTAGGCTAGGCGTTTTTAGTAAATTGATCAGAAACCGTTTTTACCTACAAGGTCAATGTGACCTTGACCTTTGACCCATTGACCCCAAAATCAATAGGGGTCATCTGCTGGTCATGACCAATCACCATGCCAAGTTTGAAGTTCTTAGGCCTAAGGGTTCTCTTATTATTGATCGGAAACCGTTTTAACATACAAGGTCAATGTGACCTTGACCTTTGACCCCAAAATCAATAGGGGTCATCTGCTGGTCATGACCAATCACCATGCCAAGTTTGAAGTTTCTAGGCCGAAGCGTTCTTTAGTTATTGATCAGAAACCGTTTTTACTTACAAGGTCATTGTGACCTTGACCTTTGACCCCTTGATCCCAAAATCAATAGGAGTAATCTGCTGGTCATGACAAATCACCATACCAAGTTTGAAGTTCCTAGGCCTAAGCGTTCTTGAATTATTGATCAGAAACCGTTTTTACTTAAAAGGTCAATGTGACCTTGACCTTTGACCCCTTCACCTAAAACTCAATAGGGGTCATCTGCTGGTCATGACCAATCATCACACAAAGTTTGAAGTTCCTAGGCCTAAGCATTTTTTAGTTAATTGATCGGAAACCGTTTTTACCTACAAGGTCAATGTGACCTTGACCTTTGACCCCTTGACCCCAAAATCAATAGGTCATCTGCTGGTCATGACCAATCACCATACCAAGTTTGAAGTTCCTAAGCATAAGGGTTCTTAAGTTATTGATCGGAAAGCATTTTTACGTACAAGGTCAATGTAACCTTGCCCTTTAACCCTTAACCCCAAAATCAATAGGGGTCATCTGCTGGTCATGACCAATCACCATACCAAGTTTGAAGTTCCTAGGCCTAAGGGTTCTTTAGTTATTGATCGGAAACCGTTTTTACCTAAGAGGTCAATGTGACCTTGACCTTTGACCCCTAGACCCCAAAATCAATAGGGGTCATCTACTGATCATGACCAATCACCATCTCAAGTTTGAAGTCCCTAGGCCTAAGGGTTCTTTCATTATTGATCGGAAACCGTTTTTACCTACAAGGTCAATGTGACCTTGACCTTTGACCCCTTAACGCCAAAATCAATAGGGGTCATCTGATTGGTCATAACCAATCACCATACCAAGTTTGAAGTTCCTAGGCCTAAGGGTTCTTTTGTTATTGATCAGAAAACCGTTTTTAATTAAAAGGTCAATGTGACCTTGACCTTTGACCCCTTGACCCCAAAATCTATACGGGTCATCTACTGATCATGACCAATCACCATACCAAGTTTGAAGTTCCTAGGCCTTAAGGTTCTTTAGTTATTGATCGGAAACCGTTTTTTACCTACAAGGTCAATGTGACCTTGACCTTTGACCCCTTGACCCCAAAAATCAATAGGGTCATCTACTGATCATGACCAATCACCATACCAAGTTTGAAGTTCCTAGGCCTAAGGGTTCTTTTGTTATTGATCAGAAACCGTTTTTAATTAAAAGGTCAATGTGACCTTGACCTTTGACCCCTTGACCCCAAAATCAATAGGGGTCATCTACTGATCATGACCAATCACCATACCAAGTTTGAAGTTCCTAGGCCTTAAGGTTCTTTAGTTATTGATCGGAAACCGTTTTTACCTACAAGGTCAATGTGACCTTGACCTTTGACCCCTTGACCCAAAATTAATAGGGGTCATCTACTGATCATGACCAATCACCATACCAAAGTTTGATGTTCCTAAGCCTTAAGGTTCTTTAGGTATTGATCACTAACCGTTTTTACCTACAAGGTCAATGTGACCTTGACCTTTGACCCCTTGACCCCAAAAACAATAGGGGTCATCTACTGATCATGACCAATCACCATACCAAGTTGAAGTTCCTAGGCCTTAAGGTTCTTTAGTTATTGATCGGAAAACCGTTTTTGCTTTTAAGGTCAATGTGACCTTGACCTTTGACCCTTGACCCCAAAATCAATAGGGGTCATCAACTGGTCATGACCAATCACCATACCAAGTTTGAAGTTCCTAGGCCTTAAGGTTCTTTAGTTATTGATCGGAAACCGTTTTTGCTTTCAAGGTCAATGTGACCTTGACCTTTGACCCCTTGACCCCAAAATCAATAGGGGTCATCTACTGGTCATGACCAATCACCATACCAAGTTTGAAGTTCCTAGGCCTTAAGGTTCTTTAGTTATTGATCGGAAACCGTTTTTGCTTTCAAGGTCAATGTGACCTTGACCTTTGACCCCAAAATCAATAGGGGTCATCTACTGGTCATGACCAATCACCATACCAAGTTTGAAGTTCCTAGGCCTTAAGGTTCTTTAGTTATTGATCGGAAACCGTTTTTGCTTTCAAGGTCAATGTGACCTTGACCTTTGACCCCTTGACCCCAAAATCAATAGGGGTCATCTACTGGTCATGACCAATCACCATACCAAGTTTGAAGTTCCTAGGCCTTAAGGTTCTTTAGTTATTGATCGGAAACCGTTTTTTGCTTTCAAGGTCAATGTGACCTTGACCTTTGACCCCTTGACCCCAAAATCAATAGGGGTCATCTACTGGTCATGACCAATCACCATACCAAGTTTGAAGTTCCTAGGCCTTAAGGTTCTTTAGTTATTGATCGGAAACCGTTTTTGCTTTCAAGGTCAATGTGACCCTGACCTTTGACCCCTTGACCCCAAAATCAATAGGGGTCATCTACTGGTCATGACCAATCACCATACCAAGTTTGAAGTTCCTAGGCCTAAGGGTTCTTTAGTTATCACTCGGAAACCATTTGGTCTACGGACCGACGGACCGACAAGTGCAAAGCAATATACCCCCTTTTTTCAAAATGGGGGCATAATAATCACTACTAGCATGACTCATGATTTTTGGCAATATATATACTGAAACAAAAAAGTAACTTTCGCAAAGTATGTGCCAGTTGTTCAAGGGTACCACTTAGATGTACACACTTATATATATGTAGAAGCTTGTAAAACTCCTTTTGTTTGCAAAATCGGTCAGCTAATCCCTGTATATAAGCCCGATATGTTTATTCAACGTAAAAATCGAGTTTCAAAAGGATTGAAAAACTGTACTAACATATCTACATTCAAACTTGGAGAAAGTTTCTTTTTTGTTTCAGTATACATACAACAAAATAGCTGGTGTATATCTGCCACTTAATAGCATTTTATCGACTTTATGCATTACTTGGCGGTTCTTTTTATACATAAACAATACAATGCTATTAATAAAGCAATGTATTAATGTTTTCTGTTCCCATTATGCCTATGCTCAAATAAAATCTCACTAATGTGGGAGGTATTGAATTCTTATCTTTTTCATGTTTTTATTTTATTTTTTTTATTTTATTTTACTTTTTATGTATTATAAAGATTTGACACCATTTATAATCAGCTGAATGATGTCATCCATAGCACACGTTTTACTCATTAAAGGTTCGGGAATGACTTAAGATGGGTTTATTGAGCACCGTTATAAACCCTATAGTATAATTTACAAGTTTAACTTGTTGATAAATTGATGAAACAATAATAGAAGAATAGAGAGATGTACTAATCTTATAATGAAACAGTTATTGTCTTATTATAATTATATCCTTTGTATTTTACCTAAACAAAAGTGGGTGCTTTATAGAACAGCCAAATTTTAAAAATAGCAACCTCCACATGAAAAATAGCTATGGTGATCTCCCTTATTTTTCTGAAGTGATCGTGTTTGAATCAAAATAACATTGTTCTGAGAGGTGTACATCCCCTATTTAAAGCTTGTCATTTTGACACGAAGAAATTTACCACTCTGGCCTTAGGACTTAATGGTTCATTCCAAAGCATCAAAACTCCCTACTGACCTTATAGCTCATAACATGTTAAAACATTACAAAAAGTTAAAGTGATCTTGTAATTTTAACAAGCCTTTGAAGATATTTCAACAAGAACATTCTCTTTCATAATCTGCAAAGCTGGAGTTTCTATCAAAAATGCATTGGAAATCATTAACTAATTTAATTTAAAGAACCTTTTTACAGGTTATAAAACAATTTCATGTTTTGAATAAATTTAGTCTGAATTTTATGAATCAATAATTAGTTAATACCAATAGTCAATACCTTTTTGAATATTGTAATCTGAAAGAGTACGACCATCTTCCAACTGTTTACCAGCAAAAATCAATCTCTGCTGATCTGGTGGAATGCCTGAAATAATTTTACAATACATGACATTACATTCTAAAGTACAATACAACATTAAATCTATTGCCACAAACAGTACATAAATCTAAATGCCCCCCCCCCCCCCATAGTGGGGACACAAATAATAGGTGGGCAAATATTTTTAATTTTCAATTGGGATGGGTCTGTTTAACGGATCCATTTTACAAATAAGACTCGTCACTATTCCATTCAAACATAGTTCGATTGTTTAGAACTTTAATTCTGAATTATAAAGTAATTCATAAATTATTTTTAGAATATGTACCTTCTTTGTCTTGGATTTTAGCTTTCACATTTTCAATGGAGTCAGAGGGCTCCACCTCCAAAGTGATGGTTTTACCAGTCAATGTCTTCACAAAGATCTGCATCTTGACCTGTAAAATGCAACAAAAACAAATATGAATTAAAATTTGTTATAAATAAAATGTTCTGTATTATCTAAGCACTGTCCATTCATGATCCAAGTTTAAATGCTCTACAATTTAATTTATCTTTAAGGTGACTGTCCTAAAACCTATTACAACCTTAAATGTGAATCTAAAATTAACTTGACAGTCAACTTGGCCCATATTTATATTACTGGTAATAAGATGCATATTTTTTTCTCTATTCTTTTTTATAATAGATACAAATACTGGCGTTTTCTCTCGAGAGCATTGCAGATAAGACTTGAGGCACTTTTTCATTATCCCTCAAAGACTCGATCAGTCATCAGTCTGCAATTTTAAGTATTAATTTTGCTGTCTTTAATACTTCTGAGGGATCACTTTCTCTCCAGATGTTAATTATCTTTTTCAAAATTTACCATAATCTACTAGCCACTAAGGCCCCCACGGATTCGTTTATATATTTTTTACCGTTTAATCGCAATGATCATATGGTCTTACAAAATATCTTAATCATTGCCTGTAATCTTGGATTTTATCAATTCTAATTGGTTTATTCCAAAGTCAAAAATGGAAAATGGGTGTTTACAACCTTCCACACAGCATTGCCGTGCAATAATCGCTTGTGACATTTTTGTAAAGTTTAATTTTCTTTGATCTTTCATAAGAGAGAAATAGGGATACAATGCAGAAAATGTATGCGGACACAATAGGGATGAGCCCTGAACATTATTTATTTTTACATGTATTAAAAATAGAAAGTAATTCATCATTTGGCGACTCGAATACATGGTGTAGTATAGTACATAGAAGTACCACATTTTAAACGGTATTGTTTCGGTTCTTAACAATCGTGTAAACCTTTACAAATATTGTAAACGTGGGAGCCTTACTAGCCACTAGCCTTCCTACCCACATAAAAACTCCCATCTAGGATTACTAGACATATGCAACCCCTCTCTCTTAGGAAAACACAAGTTACTACCATAAATTCTCGTTTTTCCCCCCACTGTATCACACTCAGGAACTAGCTTCCCATGAACATTATCACCCTGTCTGATCTTGACCAATTCAGACAGGTGATGGTTAAGATCAGTATTTAGTTGAATTGTGTTTTTCAGGGCTTCCACTAAGTTCCAAAATTTGGAAGTCAGACACTACAAAATCTCTTATATTGGAAGTCACATTATATAGGTAAAGAAGGAAGAGTATTAGATTTTGGAAGTCACAAGCCAAAATCAGGCAGTAAATAACTCCCAAACTTCCATTAATGGAAACCCTGGTTTTTACTTCTTATCTTTCTTTTACTCAAAGTTTTACTAATAAAAACATTTTAACATTGACTAAGTTTTCAATGTCTCTCACTGCCCTGATGTTCAAGTTTTTACTTTCTCTCACACCTTTCACTAACACATCCAACATGCACTATTCCTTCCTATAACACTTGCGAGACGGGTTGGCAGTATACACTCAAGAGATATTCGATAAATACACAAAAAAATGTCGGGATATTTATTCATTGTTACAAAAGATTTAATAAGAGATAAAATATAAACTGGTCTTAAATATAATTAATTTAAATACGTTACGGTCGTATCAATACAAGCACCATTTAAACAAAGTGTCCGATCTTAGAAGCAATCCGGCTACTATATCAATTTCTGGACGATATGCAACACGACCATCATTTTGAACCAGAAGAAACGTGTTTCTATTTTGTCAGATATAAACAACAATTGCCATTTTTAAATTGTACATAATCAGATGTCTTTTTTGTTAAAATACACAAAAATACTGTATCCAACAAATTTCCAATGTGGCTAAAATCGAAATAGATTTTCCGCAGAACACGTTTCGTGATATAAAAGAATACTGTCATTCTGTTAACTCTGTTCAATAGTTAAAATATAAAATATCAATACATATTGAGGAATCCTAACAAAATCTAGTTTATTTACAAGTGTATTATCAACAAAATTAAAGAAATGATATTGTGTTAAAATGCGACATGGGCGCAGCCATTTTACCTGGTTAGAAAGAAAGATACAGGGTTTACATTCAAGAAAGCAAAGAAGCCGATAGACGGCGTGTGAGAGATTTAACGCGCCAGTTTGAACTTTGAACTCTCAACTCAAACTTTGCAAATGACTTTTAATGACCCATTGTTTCATTGGCTAACGATTCGTTTAATGTTTACCGCTATTCATTTGATTGGATAACTTTACGCAAGAACTTGTCGCGCACCTTGTTCAATAAAGTTCGTCTGTAAATTGACAGCATGTTTTTGTTTTGACAGGAAAACAATCATTAATTGAAGTGTAAACTTCAAATGGATTATCTTTTTACGAGAATTTCATTGCTTCAGATGTCATGATTTGTCGGGAATCATGGAAGGGGTTGGGGTTTTCAAAAAACAGACGCTCTATTGCAGGTAGGTATTTTTTACATATTGTAGCTAATATATTGGGTACAAAAGTTTGCGTTATGTCCCTTTTTTTCGCGTTCACAGCATTTCAACAATTTAACACAATAAAATAATTACTTAAATAGTCTCCACCCATCTCCACAATATTTTATTTCTTTACCAACATCTTTTAGATTTAACAATTATTGCACTATTTCTTGTGCATCCAATTACAAGTTTTTTTTTGCTCTGAAAAAATATCAATGTTCGTAATTTTTTGTTATAATGCACAAAGTATCATAGTATACCTTAGTATAGTAAAAAGCTGTTTTCACTGTCATTGCCTGCCATAGTAGGGATTTAACATCTAAAACATGTGTACATACATGTACTTGTAAATGTTGATTAAATCAAATAAAGGTGATATTGTTTATATGACACACTGTTAATTGCATCATGTTTGTAAGAGGACATGGTGTAAAATAGTTATTTTGACAATGTCAGTGACTAAAAGCATCCCTCAAAAGCAACAGGGGCTTCCCTAAATATATTCATTGTAATTTTCAGTTGTGTTCATATGCACAAAATAAAACTTGTACATTTGACCCTATGTTATTGTTCATTATTAATAATTGATTAATATAGACTTTTTGTTATTGATTTATATATAGATTGTATGGACTCACTGATATAACATGTGCTGTTGTTTTATTTAAAAAAAATTGTGAAGACTCCTCTAAGAATTTTAAAAAGCCTGGCAGTATAAATCCACTGTTACAGAGGTTGATTTGGAAGCATGGATTTATTGCAATCTACCCAAACCTACTAAGCTATTAGGGAGATCTTGCTCTTCAGTAAGATCGGGCTTTAGAGAAAAATTATGTTTTTTGATTAGACAGTGTTATATTGGATGTGTTTTCTTTTTGTCTTTTTTTGTTTCCAACAGATTGTAGGAAATGATTGATTTACCAGTTTTTAACCTCTTTGAAAATTTCAGCCAATTCTTGATGAGAATGCCTTTAGCAGATTCTGATTTAAAACAGGCCTAATAAAAAGGGCTATAAGAGTCTATATATATTACACATTCATACTGTTACGAAATCTTTTCACTTTTGTGAAAAACTTTGTTTATTCACTTTTTTCGCTTAAAAGTAAACCATTTCTCTATGCTGGTAAAATGAACAAGTCAAGTCCAAGTGAAAGCAGGATTATATTTATTGCAGTAAATCAAAATAATGCATCATTTTATTCTCTATCAACAGTCAAAACCAAAGTAAAATCCTTAACAACTTCAACAAATACATTTCTGCAATTATAATACTAACTCAAACTCAACCAACTCCAACTCACTCCAAAACTCCTCAAAAACTCGAAAGTTCCCAGCTTATATACCCTTCTGTTTGCGCAGCTAGGGTGGTGTGCAAAAGTAGACTGTTGCGCGACCGTCTTATTGCGCGACCTCTCCAGTTTTGCACACAACTCATTGCGCGACCTGAAATGTTGCGCGACCTTTTAAAATGCTGACAATGCCTTAACAATGTTCAAAATGGCCTGCAACTGGTTCAGGTATACAGACTGTTGTACAATACAAACATTAGTACAAAAATACATAATAGTTATATAAATTTACATGTTTGAACACTCAATAGGATAATAATTATCTGTCCAATAATGCATCTTAATAGTGCAAAATATACTTGCAGTAATAAAGATATATGTACTATATATGGCTTATAAGACCAATACATTTACTAACTGATTGACATTTCTATAAAACTTATAATACTGACTGATAATTCATTAAACAACAGAAATATAATCTCTCCAGCTTTACAACATACAGCTCAACATTTGAACCAAGTAACCTGTACATAGATAAAGCAGGAAGGAATCCCATTCATAAAATCTGATATGACCAAATTATGCTTTGTTAACAACAATTGAGATGCTGAAGGGCTAAAAATAACTTAAACCTTGTACTTTTAGTCTGCGCGACCTCTTATTAGCGCGACCTCTCCATATTTGGAACTAGCATGCCTGGGAAAGCTGATTCTGCGCGACCTTTCCTATGGCGCGACCTTAAGTGTCACGCGACCTTTGTCTGCGCGACCTTTCCAAATTTGGAATGAGGTATGCTCATAATCTAAAAATAACTGAGCTGTGCCAATATTCTGGACTGTTAATGACTCAATTGTTTTACAACAAAAATGAGTAAAAGTTAACATAAACATTTTAACCAGCTTAGAAATATTGTCCAGATTTACCATCCTAAAAGAATACTCTTCTAGTAAAAGATTAGTTTCAAATTTCATAACAATACTTTTATATTTCCTGAAACTGGTCTCAAAGGAATTTACATTGCCTGATAAACAGAAATTATTTTTAATGAGAAGAAGAATTAATTTGAAGGGTTATTAATTTATTGGTTAGAAGCAGTAAATTAATAACCTTTCATGGATGGATTATTTTATATTATCAATTGGCAGCAAATTAAATAGCAATGCAAGGGAGATAATTTTAATTTTGCATTAAGGTAGCTCGTCAATATGAATATTTAATTTTGCTTTTGTGTTGCCATTGACATCTTTTGTTGTACATGACTATTGATTAAACTAAACTACAATTTAATTTTCTAGTTACCCTTTCTTGTATATTAGACACAAAATGCATTTTGGTTACAAAAAAATTGTCATGCAAAACACTTAATTTTGAATAATTATATGATTAGTTACCATATCATAAAGTTAATTTTACAAGCTATAATTTGGCAAACATACCGTAGGCTTGCTTATTAATTAGTAAAATTTTTGATAGTTATTTTAAGTGTTTAAGTTATAATATATTCCAATTTTTAAAAAATAATATTTAGATAATAAAATATCAATTTAATTCTATGGAAATGATGAAAACCAGTTTCCATTAAAACTATTTAATTTAAGAACAGTGCATATTCAAAGAACAGTGCGCATTCTAATTAAGAATGAATGAAATCCAATTTACATCAATATTGAATAAATACCCTTGATTAGGGATGCTCATAATTGTGTGATTCACATGCATTAGGTTGCACATGCAATGTACAGGTATATACCCAGTATACCAATCCATCAAAATATGTTTATACTGACTTTTATAAAAGGGCAGATATTCAATTAACAAAAGACTTTCCCATTTAATAATAGATTAGAAGCTTTATTGTTTAAGAAAGGTGCCATTAACATAAACTTGAAATATGTTATTTGCTATACATTGTACAGATAAATAATGCATTGATGCGTAAGGGCAATTTAAGTATTTGATTTGGAATTGTTTTTTTTTTAATTCACATGTTTTTTTGTTAAATGTGTTTCAAATAATTGTTTTGCTAAAAATTGTATAATATTGATATGATGACCAACATGTACCAACATGAGTGTTGAAAATTTAGCTTCTTTTAAAAGGAAAATACGTTTTCAACATTTCACAAATATGTCCAAATGCAAAAAAAATAATTAAAAAAATAAATGTCTTTACTTATAGTAAAAAAAGTTAAATATATTCATTTATAACACACTATTCACTAAGAATAATTCTTTTATTATGTTTCAAAATTGGATTTGATGAATGCCCAACCCTTCTTTTTCATGAAATGAAATTACTCTTTCATGAAATAAAATACCTGTTTGAGTTAAGGGGTCAATGTTTTCTAGCAGGTTACTCGCTGTCAGTAAATGTAAGATTTGTAAGATTTAGAAGGAAAATTATGTTCATAAGCTCCTTATAATCATAAATGTTTGACAAAAATGTGGTGGAAAAAAATATTCTGAAGTCAGAATTTAATGAATTACCTTTGCAAAACGTTCCTGCAACAAGGCATCTTGACATTATTTTTTTTTGTGAACACATAATCATTGTTACATATACATGAATAGATAGAGCACTTGTTGCTGCTAAAACTGCTAGCATCTGGCTAAGAGAGAAAATCCGAGTATCAAAGTGGAATATAATGAGATGTGCACCTGCTACCTACAGAATGGTTTGGGTGGGATTGAGAAATTATTCCCCACTTTAATGCAAAAAAGTAGATAGTGTAGCAAGTAAGTAATGGAAATCAAAGAATTTAAAGCAGTACTAATTGATCTTATGTACGATTGTTTTCTGTTGAGATACATTTGTGTTACATTATAGGAATGAGAAGCTGGTTTTCTGTAGGTAATATTGTGGATATCAAGTCACAGATTTTCAAAAGTTAACAATACTGGTAGAGGATGACCCATGTGCACATTTCTGTGCACTGTGGTAAAACATAAAAGTCATTTTCAGTAGACAGACTCAGGATTGGAAACAAGAGGCCAAACCTTTTGTAATGTTGTTCTGTTGTTGAGAGGGTCAAGATCCCTAATAGTTTTTGAATGAATCTCCTGGTGTTCTTTTATTTGGTTTACAGTTATCTTGCTCTCTATTACTTTTACAGCATGACCTCAGGTGACATGGATATTTGATGCCCCTAA